TCCACTCTGACGTTAAAGCATAATAGCTGTAAAAATAAGCAATTTCTCACGTGTTTTTTATTTTATTTTTATGCTTTTAACATCATTTCTACAACTTCAAACTATTGATATGGGGTTAATGTAACTAACCCATCAGTGTTTTTGTAAAATTGTGTTAAAAAAACAAATGTTGCTGCTTTTGTTTACAACTAAATATAGTGATCATGGAAGTTTTCTGCAAGGATTTTTTATATCTCAACGCAGCTCATTTAAATAAGATCTTAGTGACAACGATCCTTTAACACTTCCCTACACTCGATTTCTCCACCCAAAATTACTTTAGTGCTGTTAACTCTCATCCTTGCAGCTTTTAGTCATCGTTTCTTTTCAGTTGAAGAGAGAACTTTACCTTTTCACTTTCTACCCGACGTGTCCGATTGCATTGATCGCTATGACTTTGGTTACTTACGGTATTATTTTACCAACTCATTATTGGTCTTGTGTATGCTCATCAATCTTCAAATGTAAAAGACTCGTAATTGTTGGGAACAAAACATATTGCTGCTGATTTTGATTATTTATTACAAATTATGCGCTGTAGCTGTTTGGAGTGAATGATGCATTTTTTGTGGTTATTTCTTGTGTAAATTATACACATTTACCAAAAAAGTCAAATCAAGTCTTTTTTTTAAACTGCGTATTTTGACTATGCTGTGCGTATAGCTCCAAATAAAAATCTCATGCTGCCACATATCATCTCATCCACACAAATACCCATTGTATATAACAACTCGGTACTCATCAACCAAGACAGGGGCAAATAGCCCTCTGAAATCAGGTAAAAAGCAGAAAAACAAAGTTCAAGGAGAAAAAAATAAAAACAAATCTCAGCTTCCATATGACTAGATCATTTTAGTATGCATTCCTGAATGTAATCACTCAGTTGAGGTCATGCAGAGCTACAAATAGCTCAGCCAATTGTTGTTCCCATAGCTGAAAGGCTGAGGGGAGCAGTTTATAACTGAACCTTTCTGACAATAGAAGCAGATCAAATGCTGATTATAACTTCACCAGCTTTTTCAAATCAAGGTCTGAACTACTGGTTTATGCGTTTTGGTTACCAATATAGACAAAAAAATAACTAAAAAAAAATATTTCAGTACAAATTATTCAACAGTTATGTTGCTTCCAGGGAAGAAAATAAAGGAAAATTAAATTAGATCATTACAGGCCTATAACTCCATTTGCACTAAGCAATACAGCAGAAAATTTTCATCTTCTATACCAATTTACCTGGATTGTAATCACATTATAAACTCTAATAAAGCTGTCCGTGAATGTGTTGAATGGGTTAAATCAATTACAAGAACTTAGTTATCAGTTATAACTATATACAGCATGTTAACAGTTCAGAACCTGAAGGCCTTTGTGTGTGTCACTTATATTTGTGTCCTTGTAAGCCGTCAGGCTGTTGCAATCACTGACGATACTGGAAACTCCACTTGTTACAATCAGCTGCATCTATATTTGGAGCACACCCATATATTCCTCATTACGTGATGCACAAGAGTAAATTCTTCTTTCACTGTTAGTACAAAGAAAGGGTCCCAACGTCTTGTTATTGCTTTGTTTTGCAACAATGCAAAAAATAACTTGCTACAGGGACTGAAAAAACATGCTTCAACAAAAACGCTCAGGTAGCAACGTGGTGCTCGGGAAGACTTTTCTGCTTGTACATTTTCACATTAAGATAAGAGGGGCTAACACGAGTTTGTGTGTGAAACTTGTCGTTAGCAGACGGCAGGACCAACTCGCTGCACAGTAAAAGACAACATTGTAACAACTATAACAATCATACAGGTCTCTCTTGTAAATGAGTCCTCGTGACTCGGTGAGACTAACCTGTATAAATAAAGGTTGAATGAATAACAATGGCGTTTAGTCATATGTAGATGTGTATTTACAAAACAAAAACTGTAGCTATACAAGTTGCTAATTTTGGTTATAGTGAGAGATAGTTTTTGGTTTAATAAAAAACAATAATGAAGTGAAAATGTCTATTGTTTTAAGCACGACTGATTTAACATCAACTGTTGAAGATGCTGCGGTCATGTTTTGTTTTAGTTTAATAGATTTTCCTGTTTTATTATACAATAAAGTGACATTTCTCAACATAACATCCTGTGCATACATTTCCACTGCAAATATACTATATTATGAGTGGGACCAAATGTTTTATGAGTGGGATCAAATGTGCACTCCATAGCTAAGTGCTAATTTATACGTGCAAAAATATATGTCTTCTATGTAGGTTTTACTGAGTGAATGAATCAGAAATAGGAATTTTTACTATGAGTAATGTGTTTAAAACTTAAGTTTATTGATGCAGAAAAGTGTAATAAAGCTACTAAAAGGAAACTATTTTCTACAAAAGTATGTCTGCTGCTGGCTTTATTGCTCAGTAACATATAGGCTGATGTGTTCCATTTAAATACCAGCAACCACTTTAACAGGTGACATATGTAAGTCCAACTCACTTTTTAAAACCTATAACTTGCAAGCAGGTCGAAAATGGTTATTAAAAAAAATATATATATATATAAAAATAGTTATATAATTGTTTATTTTATAATTTTCAAGCTTCAACTTTCCATGATAGTTACAATAAAATTAAAGATTGGTCGTAAAATCTAACAGTAAGGTGTTTTACTTTAATTTTTCCAAACATGTTAAAAGAAGATAATTGGATTTTTCATTAGAAAATGATACATCCCACAGACTAGTGGTAAAGTACAGGCTAAATGTTTTTTTTTCCTTTACACAACACAGAGCCTCCAGGGAAAAGTTGATACTAGCAGTGTAACACTTCAAACCAAATGCTGTGGCAGCAAAAGAAAGGTTGCCAATAAAGGCTTGAATTGTGCATTCTGATGAAATCCATTAGTCGTAGCCAAGCATGTTGGAAGCTTTATGAGTTAAATGTCCTGATTCACAGCCCTCGGAAACACGACTCTTTACCCTTCAGTCCACATAATTTTGGTTTATGGCAAGAAAGCAGTGCCCACACCCAACTACCTCAGAGCTGCCTGCCTGTTTTCAACTCTCTCCAGACATGCAGAATGGCTTTGGGACATGCAGGGAACTCCAGGCCAGTCAAAGACAAGAGGTTATTTGATTAACATGGAATTTTATTAAGCTGTGGGTGGAGTTGCATGGTGGCAGAAAGAGACCCAGCAAAAAGCCGCCATTCATTGATCAGGAGCGATTGCAGGATGGGGGAGAAAAAAAAGATAAACAACTCCGTTGTGTGTGGCTGCCAGTGGGAACTGTCGCTACAGGCTTTTAAAAATGCAGAGCGTGTGGACTTTTAGATGACTTTAATAGCTTTCTTCTGCAACTTAATGGGAGGTCATAGAAAACTACGCATGTGTTCTTTTCAAAAAGCAATCTACAGCAGCTTATTCATAACATATACTACAAGTCAGACACGTGGGCGGGATATTAGGACAAACTCCCTTCCCCAAACAGCTTAACTGATATGTTTCCACTTAAAAATTATTCTTCCAATTACAACTTCAATTGTTGTTGTTGTATACATTAATACGATAAGAATAATAAAAATATATATTTGAAAGGACAGATCCAGAACTACTACTCATTCATTGCAAATTTGAGTGTTGAACAAATTGAAAAAGCATATTCGCACAAGCAAACTCAAATTTAAAGCCTAGTGTCAGTCGCAGGATACACTGAGTAAGGTAATATTTTAAATCCATTTATCCACAGAAAACTTGAAATTAATCACAACAAATGTGAGAACACGACTGGCCCTGAATCACAAATCTTTGTGAAAACACACAGCGCCACTGTCGCCCAAGCTGACGTTTCTTCTTGATATCAACAAACCTCTGACACATCAAGATTTCACTGCCATCCCCTCAACTGTGAGCGAGCTTGTAAAGATTGTTACAATAAAACCCAAAGGAGTTAAAAGTATGTGGCAGCAGCTACCATCCGCCTACTAAAGAGGCAATTCACAGGTTGACACCACTTAGACAGGAAGCAGTCAAGGTAAAAAAAAGCTTTGATGCAGCTGGAGGGCTGCAGGTTACAACAAGCCTGAAGCTATTTTATCACTTTATATATGATGTTCAAATACTTGTACACAGACAAAACATTACTGATAGTCGGTCATTAATGGGCCAAATAACACCCAATGACTGTGCATTACTAGAATCCATTAACTGTAATCTACTGATGAAAACAACTTTAACTAAACATAACGTATAGTGTGTGTGTGTAATTACAGCGTGTGCCTATCTGTGGAGAATAACAGTTGTCATTTTCTATTCTAATAAAACAATGTTTAGCTTTTCATGTATTTATACTACTTAAACATGCTAAATTAATAAAACAACTAATAAACAATAAATGTAGATTTTCTATCCATTATCAAAGATTGTTTTACTAGACATTGTCAAATGATCAAATGAGCTGGAACCACAGAACTAGGGAGTTCTTGTTTCTATTCTACAAAATATCAGAACACAATCACATGCAAAGTTACTTAAAAGAAATCCACAAGTGATGCATAATAGACTATAAATATCAGAGCTCTACAATACATAGCAGCTATACGTCTGCTATACACCATATTAAATACACAGTGTCTTAAATGAGACATAAAGAAGCTAAATAACCACAAGTGGAACCTGGCTCAAGTAGGATAATGTTAGACATTTGCATTGCCTTAAAAGGACTAATCGAAATGAGAAAACATAATGAAAAAAGGTGTTAAAACAACAGATTCAGAATGAGCAAAAAGTGACACGGAATTTAAACACATTGAAAGGGAAAAATCTGCTATTAAAAAAAAATGCTAAAGTAACATTATTAAATAAATTACCAACATTTTCTTCAGTGACACCTCAGACAAAACTCGGAAAGAATTTGTTCCAAGGAGTAGACTGACCCCGAATAGCGTTAGCTACCTGGCTCTAGCTAACAAGCTACAAACTTACCAGTAGACAATCCGTGTTTATTTCCGACTGGGGGTCTTGCAACATGGCATCGATTTTTTCAAATCGAGCCACCATACTTTCGGCAGAAGACATTTTGCTGTCAAAACTCAGTCCCGGCGTTGGGTTATCACGAACAAAAACAGCCCACTAGCGAGGCAGCTAGCTTCTTTAGCTAGCCAAGTGTCCCTTTCTTCGTGTGAACTTTACACCTCACTTCAAAGAAAACGCATCCTCGTCCTCGAGTTTTCATAGACAATGAAGGCATTAAGATCGCAGCCAACATTCCACATTTTCCCGGTCGGAAGATGTTTGTCTCAGTATGAGTGGCAAACAACTTCAGTGTCAAAGATAAATGCGGGGACAGATTAGACAACCTCCGCAGGATGCCACTGAGGATAAGCGCTTAAACGTTTAAACAAAAGGCAATTAAAAAGTAAATACGATGTCTTCTAGAAAAGAAGGAGTTCGGAGAAAAAGAAATTAGTCCAGAACCGTTCCCATTTCTATGCCAGGCCCTTTGCTGAAAACGAGAATTTGACAGCTCAAAAGTAGAAGTGGTGGGGAAAAAAAAAACTTCTGCTTCTTCCAAATTTCGAAGTTTAAACACGAAGTCGCTTCAACGTTAAACCGTGGTCCTTCCGCTGCGTCCCGTGCACTGTCAATGATTGTTCCCCGTCCAAACGGCTGTAATTCTCAAATAGAGTATAAATAAAAATAAATCAAGTATGGCGTGTGTTACTTTTCGGAAAACAATCGAATACTGTGCACAATTTTCTCACACAGCTCGGCCAACATGTCCGCCTTCCTGTTCAAACACCCCGGAGAAGCTGCTTCATAAAAATGTCACGCACTGCGCATGCGCTACGCTGAGGCCGCAGTGGAAGAATTCACAGAAGCCGTACTCAAAAAGTTTTAGCGTAAACGTTAGGATTTCAGCAAAGAAAAATAGCCATCGAATAAACATTGATATTTACTGTCGTCAAAAGTTTTTATTCTTAAATCATAAAATGTATTTTTCTTTTCGTTGGCTACAAAACTGGACATTTGGCCACTGGTTATTTAGAAAAAAAAAATACATGTTTACCTGCAGAATTGTCTTATAGGGGATCATAACCTAATCAATAACTTAATGTATTTGCTACACATTTAAGAAAGAAAAAAGTCTTCAATATTTAACTCAAAAATAAATATATTACATATTCAGAGTTTAATAAAATTACCTGTGGTTTCTGTTATATTTCGTTGTTACCATTCTTATCCAACAGAGGGCAGTGTTTTACAAGTTACGCCAAAACCTTTGGCGTTAAGCGAATAAAAGTCTTTAATTCATAGAGCATGCATCAGGATAGATATCTTTTTTAATTCTGTCAACAATTTTGATCTAAATGGTTATTTTAGGTTATTTGTAGGATATAGTCTACAACATTAGCCCATAGATTTACATATGTATGTGGCCAACAGGTAGATTTCTAAAAAGTTTAAAGAAATTAGAAGGATATTTCTGTATATAGCACTATGAAAGACTCCCATTGTAAACAAATGACTGGATTTTTTCCCTAAAACAGTTAATATTTTTCTAGATTATTGTGTGTCTGATGAGTCTGAATTTACAATATTGTATTCCTATTTATAGTTACATCCATACTTCTTTTAGTTTCTATTCTGAATACTTTGTGTTTTTTCATTCAACCTTTATTTAGACAAGTAGATCCCATTGAGCCTCGAGGACTCATTTACAAGTTATTTTACCCATTCCAGTATCAAAAACTTTCTGCTCGACCAGAAATAATATGTTGTGACTGTTAGTATTTGTAACTTGATGCCTTTCAAAATATTTAATTTTAATTATTAAAAAAGTCATAATAGAGACACAATGAGATCAGAGGAATTCCTTCAAAATGTTATTCTCTTTAAAATCTCTCCAACATACCTGTTCTGTTTTTGGCTTTCTATGCTTAGCTACAGTTTAATCTATTTTAGCTATAGCCTTTTGGCAATTTAAGCTTTAGCTGTGATTTAGATCAGTCTGGCTTGTAGCTAAAGTTTTGCTCATTTTAGCTTGGAGCTTATTTGAGTTCATTTTATCTTATAGTTATAGTTTGGATAAATTTAGCTCATGTAGCTATGGTTTTGGTCATTTTAGCCTGCAGTTACTGATAATATTAGCTTGAAGCTTCGAGTTTCAATTTTTAGCTTTGATTTTTTTGTAGTTTCAGCTTTTTATTAATTGTTTTACTATATGTTATTTCTTATTCCAGCTTGTATTTACAGGTTAATTTTACATTATATTTACTGTTTAGCTAGTTAAGCTTGCAGCTATGGTTCTGCTGATTTTTTTTTTTTTTTGTTAGTTTAAGCAAACATAAGCTAAAATTAGCAACACTACAGCTACAAGCAAACATTAGCCAAACAATTTAGTCAGAAAACGCAAATTCCTCTGGTTTGGATTAGCTTCTTTGACCATTTTAGTCTGTTTGTAAAGAACAGGGAACTGTTTTGGCTGCACGGTGTTTTTGCGCCGTTTTCGCGGTATTTTCGCGGCAGCGCGCGCGCGGAGTTTCCTGCAGTGACGCAGACGTACAGTACGGCCGTGACGTCAGCGGGCTGCGCAGATCAGCTGTGTCCAGCGCAGCATCGATGTCGGAGTCAGACTCAACTCCCCCCACAGCCCCTGCGCTTCATGGCCGCCTCTAACGCGCTTCGCAGCTGACAAGGTAAGAGCTCAAGTAATCAGGAACTGTTTCGCTTTGCTTTTTAAAAAAAAAATAATTTTTTAAAGCAACTTCAGGTTGACAAATGTTGCGCACGCCGAGCGAAGGCGTCTCGTCCCTGCTGTGTTTGTGGTGGTCTGTCAGCGCGCCGTTAAACTTTCTCCAGCTTCACATTTACTCGGAAACGGGGAAAAAAAAGGCGCAGGGAATTGAGGCAAAACCAGGCCACCGTTTGGCACGCTCACTTTCAAAGTGTCAGCGAACTTCATGTTTGTCTTCAGAGCCAACAATGTTACCTTAAAAAACCCGTTTTTCCTCATTTGTTGTGCAACAGTCCGTGTGTGTGCTGACTGTAAGTGGGAAATTATTATTGGTTCTGCGTTGTGAGCCATAGTTGGTGTGAATGGATTTGTTTCTTGTAAACGCAGCCCGCGTTCATCAATCATTGTTAATAAAGCCATGTCAGCTCAGGAGACAGAACACTCATTTAAGCTCGTCTGCAGAAAACTCCAGCTGCCTGAGGCTTGGTGCTGAAACAGGCTTCAGCAGCTCAGATAAAATCAGATCAGATGACAGAGAGCAGAAGATGGATTTGTCAGTTTGTCATTCAAAAAAGAAGCAAAGCATTTCTGCAACAATTAATGTATTTATTCCCCATGTTTGGTGTCCTAATGGGGGTATGTGTCATGTCTCTAAACTTTTTAGAGCGCCCTAAATGTCATTAGGACTGTTGCAAATGTGATTTTTTTGTTTGTTTGTTTGTTTCAGTCACAGCTAAAATGATCAACGATATAAATTGTAATCTAGCTTTTTAGGATTTATTATACTCATATGTGGTGGCTTTGCAGCCTTTCATGCCAGAGTTTTAGTTATTTTTCTATTCAATTCAACCTTTATTTATACAGATTAGTCTCATTGAGCCCCGAGGACCCATTTACAAGAGATAGCCGTTATATAATCAAAACAATAATAATAAAAAATAAAGTCTTATAGTTAACGGATGAGCTGGGTGGCCTCTGATGCTTAAAGCACGCGTAGCCTTGTCACTGAAACTAAAGGCCGGAGGGGTCAGAGGGGCTCTGAACGCTGACCATCTGTCCCTCGGGGGGGCTGCTTTCTCACTGCCTGTTATTGTTCCTGGTGAACAATTGGGACTTAATCTGGGAGGAGATAAGTATACGTAAGGCCTCGTGATGCCACTGCTATGCACGGACAGGTTTCTTTCTGTGTAGCCTTGAAGGAGACATCTCTGTCCCATGTCGCCTTGTCAGGGCTGGAGATGAGTCCCTGCAGCGTTAAGTTTCACCATCAAAAAGGGGGTCACTGAAACGCTTTTGTTTGGGCTCACATTAGTCCGGCTACATTCATGTTGCAGGCAAAAGTGGCCCAAATCTATTTTTCTTTTCTTTTCTTTTTTTTTTTGTGGCCTCCATGACTCATTTTTCTGTGATGGTCTGAACGCGACAACTCTGATTTGTTCTAATTCGATCCAGGCCTTTTTCATATGGTACTAAATCAGATACAGAGCTGAAGTTCTCCAAAGCGACCGCAGTCTGAACAGTCATGTCACATTTCATCTGACCTTTACATCAGTTAAATATGTTTACCTGGTGAATCCAAGAATTGATCACATTCATACCAACCTGGTGCAGTTTAAATCTTATAACTGTACGTTTTCAGCTGCAGAATAGATGTCCAGTTCCTTCGTGTTTGTTCTTTGATTTCATTATATCCTGGATGACTGAGGATCTACAGCAACGGTGGTGTTGGACCGTATCGATACTAACGTGATGGGATCAATGCCTGAGTTTGTTTCTATCTTCAGTACGCCGCTCCTGTTCCAGAAGTACAAGTCTGCACTGGAGCAGCCGGCAAGAGGCAAAATCAAATGTCTGTTGCCGGCTGGACCAAACCAGCATTCAGATAATAATTTAATTGGGTCTGATTGCACAACAGCTTCGGAATCGATATGTGCACGTTAACGTGGAGCATTGTGTAAACGCAGTGTGCTATGTGTGACTTTACAACTTATTCTGCGCATGCAGGTTGCATCAGGTCCATAAAAAGTCCACACTGAAGTCTGATGAAGGTCGGATTAAAATATAAGGTGAAAGACCACGCAAAAAATAAATAAATAAAATAAATGGGGAATTACGCAACATTTTGGAATTGAGTATTAAGGCCTGCTGTAAAACCTTTACAGTGGCAATTTAAAAAAAATAATATTTTAATGCTTAGTTGCAAGAACACAAAGGTTTTTTTTTTTTTTTACAAATAAAATATTACGGCGTTGTATTTTCGTTTAAAAATAACCAGTGTTTCTGCATTTCCAACAAAAAATGCAGTCTGAGTGCTGTAAAATGACAAAAATGTATTTTTCTGATTTAAAACACGTTTGAGTCTCTAAAATCAGCAAAATAGCAGCTAAAAGGAAAATATGCAAAACTGTAGCTAAAGGCTAAAAGAGCAGCCAAAATATAACGGAGCCCAAACAGTAGCTAAAAGCGCAAATGAGCAAACGTGGCACTCAAAGCCAAGTTGGAATTGGAGAGATCTCACTTTTTGTAGGGATGCACAATATTGGATTTTTGGTCGATATCCAATATGCCAATATGTTAAAACTTATTTGGCCGATAACCAATACCATTT